TTTTTATGCTGATATAGTTTGCAGTAAGTTCCTCATAGTTTCACTGTAGTTTTCGGTAATTCGCACTGAACTCATTGAGCTTCCTTATAACCATTGTTTTGAACTCAATATCTAATAGTTAACTTGCCTCTATTTCATTTATCATTCTTTCTGAGGATTCCTGCTTTCCTTTTGATTGGAGGTTGTTTCTTTGTCTTTGCATTGTTTGTGAGACTCTTCTTACTTGCTTCTGCTTGTTAAATTGATCTGTCTTGATAACCCGACTTTGTGGTGTAAACTGCTATGGTAGGAGGTCTGTGAGATTCGGTGGTGCAGTCTTCCTGATCTCATGAACTTGATGCTCTTGGGATGTCCTATATGCCTTTTATGCTGGTTTTCGGATGTAATTTGGTTTTGTTTTTGTTAGGTCTTTCTCTCCAGCTGTTTGACTGAGGGTCACTCTGCCCACCATGACTTGTATGTGTTGTGCAGGTGCTTCTGGAAGAAAACCACAAAGACTAGGAAACAAACCCACACACACAAAAATACCCCCCCCACAATCTCACTATCAACAGTAAATGAACCAGTATTAATGGTGTAAGGAGATTAAGACTATTATAAGAAAGGAGAGGGGACATAAGATGACCTACTGAATAAAAGTGATTTGGGGAGGGTAGAGTGAGAAGCACTGATAAGAGTTGGGAGTTGGAGCAATGTGAAGAGAGAAGGTAAAATTTACCTCATAAATAAACAAGGGAATGAAGAATGTGGAATGGAGTATGAGAAGAGAAGTGTATAGTATTAGGTTTAAACAGAAATTAAAATAACATAACATAAAAAATAACATAAAATAAAATAAAGTGAGAGAGAAAGAAAAAGGAAGGAAAAAAGTAAATAATTAATAAAAATATAGGAGCCAAATTGCAGAGAAAGATGCACCACAGTACTATCAACCACAAATGAGCTAAAGTTAATATAGGTGGTATGGGATTAAGAGGAAAAAAAGAAACAAAGAAAAGTCCAAAAGATGTTTAAAGGACTGGGAAGTGATTTTGAAATGATAGAGGGAGAGGGAATACTAAGAGTGAGGAACAAATACTAGACTAAGTGAGGGGAAAATTAAAATTTTGGATATAAGTTAAAAAAAAGCAAAGAAGGAGAATAAAGAAAAATAAGAGGTCAGGATGAGAGAGAAATAGAAGAAAGACACAAAAGAAAAAGACAGGATAAGATGACAAAATTAAAATTTGAGACAAAAAAAGTAGGAGAGGAGACTGATAAAATTTAATATTTGAAATACAGAATTAGTGAGGCTCTAGAAGTAAAATTGAAAAAACAATGCAACAACAACTACCCTACCGACAACCAACTAGCAAAGATTGTTAAAGGTGGAGAGAGAATGTGGGTATTTTAACAGCAGGGAAAAAGGGTGTGAGATGACCCTCGACCAGAAAATTGGTTTTGTGTGTCTGGATAGGGGAAAGATAGTAAGAGTGCAGAATGAAAACAAGTTGTAGCTAGACATAAAACAAAAATTGAAATGAAAATAATATGAGGAGGGAGGAAGGTAAAATGGGCTAAGAGGAGGGAGGGGCAAAATATGTGAATTGAAATATAGTATAAATCTAGGACAATATGTACAAACTTGCTGGACAAGAAATGAAGGTTAAAAGTTATGCAGGAAAGAAAATATCACTAATTATGGAGAAGACCTCAGTGGATTTCATCTCTGTAGCCTCTTGTATTTACCACTGTTTTTTTCTTTCTGAATATGTCTCTGGTGATGTCAGATGTTGACCCTGTCTGACCTTAGGCAGCCTGTTTGATACTTCCAGTGATCTCTCCCTGGCTGTCTCCTTCAGTTGTTAATCTGGTCATTCTGCACTCAGAGGTCAAGTTTAAGCACTGTAGGGTGGAGCAGAATTCCTCCTTGGGTGGGGGATGTTGTTTCCCTTGGACTGTTGCTGTTTGGAGGGGAGTGGTCTTCCTGAGCAGGATGGTTTCTGTATGGGTGTTGGCTCAGCACCAGGACCCGGCTTCTCTCTCAGTTTTCTCCAAGACCTCCATCCCCAGTTTCTCCTCAAGTGTCTCTAGTTCACTTTGCCCCACCTTTACCAGTGATCTACTGTTTCTGACTGTCTTCTTTGGTTGTTAATCTGGTCTCTCTGCACTCAGCAGTTATGCTTAAGCACCACGGGGCCAGGACAGATACCCTCCTAGGATTGGGGCTATTGTTTCCCCTCAGGCTGCTGTGCTTGGAGGGGAATGGTCTGCCTGAACACACTGGCTGCTGCTGTCTGGGGGATGACTTAGCATCAGGATCCTGGTGGCTACTCTCTTGAGTTCTCTCCCCCAAACCTCAGTCCTTAGTCTCTCTTCTGGCATCACGAGCCTTTTCCACCCCTGCCTTTGCTAGAGCCCATGGTAAGTGGCTGCAAATGAGAATTTGTTTGTTGGCCCTTTAGATGGCTCTCTGTGTCTCCAGCTGTCCATCTCTGGCAGAGAGCAACCCTACCACTTTTCACTGCTGTTTGCTATCTGTGTACTTTTTGGGCTCTGGTGCTCTAAGCTGGGAATCTCAGCTTTAGGTTTAAACCCCATTCTTCCGAGGGAGATCCAACCAGCCACTCAATTATCCCTCCAGTGCTGCTGCCTACAGGCCCCCATGCAGCTCTCTTGAGTCTCTACTGCACTCCTTACTAGACAGGCTGTGCTAAATCTTGTTTTTCTGTCTGTCTGAAGTTATATGGCTACTCTCTGGTTATTGCTCAGTTGTTTGTCTTGGGTAATTTCCCATAACTGAGTTGTAATTCCAGATTGGCCCTGGGAGGAGGTCAGTGTGACTTCCATTCATACCTCTACCATCTTTTCCTATCTCTAGAATTCCTTTGAAATCCATCTGCTACTAGGAACCAAAAACCAGCCCATAGGAAAATGTCACACTGAGGTCCTCAGCACCCATGATATCAACCACTAGGCTTATGAGCAGATGAACCTTCAGAAGACGGAAGATGCAGCCTTCAAGTCTTCCAGCTGAGGCTCAAGATTACAGAGGAGAGACAAGACATCCCCATCTGAATTTCATGAAACTAGGTTGAAGGCAGCTGCCAGAGAGCCCCAGCCCAACTCTTACTCCATTGCATATATATTTTCACTTACCATTATCACAAGTACTTTTCCATCTCATCAAATGTTCTTTGAGGACAAAAATTCCAGTAATGTATCATAATTTACTGAAATATTTTCCCACTGTTGAGTAGTTACTGTTAATAATGTTTGAATGTATTTTCATGCACATAAATTTGGGGGGTTTAATACTTTTGGGATATATTGCCTAATGGCTAACTAGTGGGTCAGAGAGCATGAACATATACAGGCTTTTTGCCCTATTATCACCATATTGTCTTTTAGAAAAGTTGTAACAACACACAATCTTTCAAATACTACAGGATAGTCAATTTCTGTGCTCCTCCTTTTCCTGTATTTTATTAAAAATCACTTGAATCAACTGAGAGTGAAAATGGCATGCTGTTTTCTTATTGAATTTAATGAAGTGACATTGGTTAATACAATTATATAAGTTTCAGGTGTACAATTCTTTTCTTTCACATTTTTTATTACTGTTCAAGTACAGTTGTCTCCATTCCCCCCCCCCACTACCCTCCACCCCAACCATCCCCACCATCAATCCCCCCCTTTGTTTTGACCTTGTGTCTTTTACAGATATTCCTGAAAAGCCTTCCCCATTTCTCCCATTATCCCCTCCTACCTCCCTTCTGGTTACTGTAAGCTTGTTCTCAATTTCAATGTCTCTGGCTCTGTTTTGCTTGCTTGTTTGTTTAGTTGATTATGTTCCACTTATATGTGAAATTATATGGTTTGTTTTTCAGGTATACAATTCTATAATACATCATATATATTGTATTTGGTATTCACCACCTCAAATCAAGTCCCCTGCTGTCACCATTTAGCCCCCCTATATTCTCTTCTTTTTTAAATTTATTTTTTAAATTGTTGTTCAAGTACAGTTTTCTGTCTTTTACTCCCATCCTCGCCCACCCCCCAGTGCTTCCCACCTCCGTCCCATTTCCACTCCCCCCCCCAGTTTTTGTCCATGTGTCTTTTATACTTGTTCCTGTAAACCCTTCTTCCCCTTTTACCCTGAAATTCCCTCCCCTCTCCCCTCTGGTTTCTGTCAGCCTGTTCTGTATTTCAGTGTCTTTGGTTATATTTTGCTTGTTTGATTGTTTTCTTGTTTAGGTTCCTGTTAAAGGTGAGATCATGTGGTCTTTGTCTTTCACCACCTGGCTTAGCATAATGCTTTCCAGTTTCATCCATTCTGTTGCAAATGGTAGGAGCTCCTTCTTTCTTTCTGCTGTATAGAATTCCTTTGTGTAAATGTACCACAGTTTTTGGATCCATTCATTTACTGATGGGCACCTAGGTTGCTTCCAACTCTTGGCTATTGTAAATTGTGCTGCTATGAACATTGTGGTGCATAGGTTCTTTTGGATTGGTGTTTCAGGGTTCTTAGGGTATTATCCTAGCAGTGGAATTGCCAGGTCAAAAGGCAAATCCATTTTTAGTTTTCTGAGAAAATTCCATAGTGTTTTCCATAGTGGTTGTCCCAGTCTGCAATCCCACCAACAGTGCACTAGACTTCTCTTTTCTCCACAACCTCTCCAACACTTGTTGTTTTTTGCTTTGTTTGTGATGGCCATTCTGACTGGTGTGACGTGGTATCTCACTGTGGTTTTAATTTGCATCTCTCTCATAGCTAGTGATATTGAGCATCTTTCCATGTGTCTCTAGATCCTCTGTATGTCTTCCTTGGAGAAGTATCTGTTCAAGTCCTTTGCCCACTTTTTAGTTGGGTTGCTTGTCTTCTTAGAGTGGAGTCATAGTAATTTCTTTATATATTTTGGAGATCAAACCCTTGTCTGAGGTATCATTGGCAAAAATATTTTCCCATATGGTTGTTTCTCTTTATCTTAATAGTTTTTTTAGCCATGCAGAAGCTTAACAATATGGAAGGCTTTACAAATTTGCATGTCATCCTTGTGCAGGGGCTGTGCTAATCTTCTCTGTACCACTCCAATTTTAGTATATGTGCTGCTGAAGCAAGCACCCTATACTCTCTTTTATGTGTCCCCCACACCCCTCCCCCCTAGTAATTACCACACTCTGGTCTGTGTCTATTGTTTTTTGGTTCAATCTTTTTACCTTTTTCATCTCATCCACAACCCCCCTCTCTATAGCTGTCAGTCTGTTCTCTATCTATGAGTCTGTTTCTTTTTTGTTTGTTAGTTTATTTTGTTCATTATATTTCACATGTTACTGAGATCATATGGAATTTTCTTTCCCTGACTGGCTTATCTCACTTAGTGTAATGTTCTCCAGGCCCACTCATGCTATTGCAAAGAGTAAAATTTTCCTTTTTTTATGGTCTAGTAGTTTTCCATTGTGTAAATGTATCATAGCTTTTAATCCATTCATCTACTGATGGACATTTGGGCTGATTCCATGTCTTGGTTATTGTGAATAATGTTGCAATAAACATCGGAGTGCATATATTGTTTTGAATTAGTGTTTTGAGTTTTTTCAGATACATTCCCAGAGGTGGAATCACTGGGTCATAAGGCTGTTACATTTTCAATTTTTTGAGGTAACTAGATACTACTTTCCACAGTGGTTGCACTAATGTGCATTCCCACCAACAGTGCACAAGGAAATCATCAATAAAGATTTTTCACTGAGACTTCTGGCCAAAATGGAGGCATAGGTAGACACATAGTGCCTCCTTGCATAACCAAAATAAGAACAACAAAAATTTAGAAACAAAATAACAATCAGTACTAACAGAAAATTGAACTGTATGGAAGTCTAACAACCAAGGAGTTAAAGAAAAAACATTCATCTAGACTGTTAGGAGGGGAGGAGTCGGGCAGCTGGGCAGAGAGGGGTCCTGGTAAAAAAAAGCATTGGCTGGTGGACCCGGTGGGGTGGTGGGTTGTGGAGAGGCTTGGTGCCCAAGGTGGCTTGCAGAACTGGGCAGTCCCACATTCATATGCAGATAAACCAGGTGAAACTGGAGAGTGAGACAGACTGCACAACCTGGGGCTCCAGTAAAGCCTCAAAACACCAATTAAAAATCCCTGTGGGGGGTGAGGTGCGGGGAGAGACTCCCAGCCTCACAGGAGAGTTTGTTGGAGAGACCCACAGGGGCTTAAAATGTACACAAGCCCAGCCACCAAAGAATCAGCACCAGATGAACCCAATTTGCTTGGCGGAAGTGGGGGAAGTGACTTAAATCTGGCAGAGTGAAGCTAGCACCATTGTTCCCTCTCGGACACCTCCCCCACATACAGCACCACAATGCAGCAACTGGGTTGCCCCACTCTGGTGAACACCTAAGGCTACACCTGTCACTACGTAACAAGTGTGTCAAGACAAAAAAAAATGGCCCACACTAAAGAACAGATCAAAGCTCCTGAAGAAATATAGCTAAGTGATGAAGAGATAGCTAACCCATCAGATGCACAGTTCAAAGCACTGGTGATCAGGATGCTCACAGAATTGGTTGAATTTGGTCACAAATTAGATAAAAATGGAGGCTATGCTAAGTGAAATAAAGGAAAATGCACAGGGAATCAATAGTGATGGGAAGGAAACTGGGACTCAAATCAAGGGAGTGGACCAGAAGGAAGGAAGAAAGAACCAAACAGAAAAGAATTAAGAAACAAGAATTCAAAAAAATGAGGAGAAACTCCAGGACATCTTTAAATGTTCCAACATCCGAATCATAGGGATACCAGAAGGGGAAGAGGAAGAGCAACAAGTGGAAAACTTATTTGAACAAGTAATAAAGGAGAACTTTCCCAATCTGGCAAAGGAAATAGACTTCCAGGAAGTCCAGGAAGCTCACAGAGTCCCAAAGAAGGTGGACCCAAGAAGGAACACACCAAGGCACATCATTATATTAGCCAAGATAAAAAATGAAGGAGAGAATCCTAGAAGCAGCAAGAGATAAGGAGACAGTTACCTACAAAGTACTTCCCATAAGACTGTCAGCTGACTTCTCAAAAGAAACCTTGCAGTCTAGAAGGGGCTGGAAAGAAGCATTTGAAATCATGAAAGGTAAGGACCTACATCCAACACTGCTCTACCCAGCAAAGCTTTCATTTAGAATAGAAGGGCAGATAAAGTGCTTCTCAGATAAGGTAAAATTCAGGGAGTTCATCATCACCAAGCCCTTATTTTATGAAATGTTAAAGGGACTTATCGAAGAAAAAGAAGATAAAAAAATATGAACAGTGAAAGGACAGCAAACTCACAGTTACTAACAACCACACCTGAAACAAAAGCAAACTAAGTGGACAGCTAGATCAGGAGTGGAACCATAGAAGTGGAGATCACATAAAGGGTTACCAACAGGGGAGTGGGAGGAGAAGAGAGGAGGAAAAAGTACAGGGAATAAGTAACATAGATGGCAGGAAGAAAATAGACAGGGGAAGGGCAAGAATAGTATGGGAAATGTAAGAGCTAAAGAACTTAAGACACATGGACATGAACCAAAGGCAGGGAATGTGGGTGAGAGAGGGTGTGCTGAGTGGAGGGGAATGAAGGGGGAAATGGGACAACTATAACAGCATAATTAATAAAATACATTTAAAAGAAAAAGACAATCCACTGAATGGGAGAAACCATAAAAAAGGACAACCATCAATAAAGACAATGCACTGAATGGGAGAAAATATTTGGCAATGATACATCTGATAAGCAGTTAATATCATAAATTCATAAAGACCTTATAAAACTCAACACCAAACCTTCCTCCAAACGATTGAAAAATGGGCTAAGGGCATGAATAGATACTCCTCCAAAGAAGATATATAGATGGCTAGTAGACATATGAAAAGATGCTCAATATCACTACTCATCAGAAAAATACGAATGAAAATCGCAGTAAGACATCACCTCACACCTGTCAGAATGGCTATCATCAATAAATCCACAAACAAGAAGTGTTGGAATGTTGTTGTTCTTAATATGTTACTTTTTTGTGTTGATATTGCTTTTCTTTCAATAAATTGTGGGCTTCATCTTTAGATCCTTATAACCAGAGAGGTGCAGTACATCTATGTCCTTGGATGCTGAGAGTTCATATTATCATTTCCTGATCTAGAACTTGACACGTTTTCATTGAATGTGAAGTTCACGTATATCTCCACAGCAACCTCTCTGAGCTCCCCAAGAGGAATCTACTCGCACAAAGCAAATGGTGTTCATTCACTGAAGATTTTTCAGGGGAGGCAGAGAAGAGAGTTGACATTACACACCTCACTGCAAATAACTTGAAATATTTTTGGAATGTTTTACTTACCTCCAAGTCCTCTCTTTTTGCTTTCTGTTGCCCCAATATCCAGGATCTTTCTTTAGTTCTTCCTTACATATGTCACTTGCTCTCACTAATTTTTGCCACTCCTTGAATGTCCCTTAAATATCTCAGCCACTTACTGACCCTAATTTGTTAACCAGCCATGCCCTTTGAGGCTGTCACTCCCCTAGCCACCCACAAAAGACTTATCAACATATTTTCCCATTAGCAGGCAGTGATTCTTATGTAGCAGTTGTTAAGAGAACAACACTTTCTTCACATTGTTTAAAAAGCATTATGTAAAAATTTTGGTAAAGGTGGAAGTGATATATTCCTTAGAGTAGGTTTCCAATTTTTTCTTGGGATAGGACATACCTTCAGGATCAGCATTTGTAAGGGAGTAAGGGAAACAATTGGCTAGAGAGAGGAATAGGACTGCAATGTAATCACAGCAGAGGCCTCAGCTGACCCTGTTGTGAGGCAAACTTTGAAACTGACATGATTCTTCAGAGTTGTACCAAATTGAGGCATGGGGATTGGATCGTTGTACCCCACATCCATGAACCAGTCCTTGGACGTGGCTGCCCTTAAGGAAATGGGAACGACTTTGGGCAGTTCCTGTCCACTGAGGGCAAATCCTAGGAAAGGACTCAGCTGGAATGTGTAACAACCAGTACTCTTGGCAATGAATGCCTTGCTCTAAAATCGGATATGGGTGATTTTCTCAGGGAATTTATTATTTTCAAGATATGCTTGCATTGAAAATATTTTGATTATAGAGTATGCTTAAAAAAAGCTGGAGGTGTGTTTGGGGATGTAAAATCCCATTGAAGTCTTCAGAATTGTACAGAGGTTAAGTCAGAACACTGATTCTGGCCATTTTATCTGTGTAGCCTTATGCAAATCAGTTACTCTGTTTTTCCATCTGTAAAATGGTATAAATAACACCTTTCCTCTTAAGGGATACATAAAAGAATTTAAATAGAGGAGTTGGAAGATAGCAGCATCGTAGGTGGAAGCTAAACCTACTTGCTGGTACACCCAACTGGAACTCCTGGCCGATCTTCTGAAGAACAGAGTGAATGGAAAATGGAATCCCAGCTTATATAAAGGTTGGAGGCCAAAATTGTAGAGGACGTTGAAAAACAGACAGCAAGGAGATTGTGTTGGGACAGTAAGATCCCTGGGAGCAGTGCAGGGACCAAGGCTACCGTGGGCCCCTGGACTGATACCTGGCTCCGGGGTCAGCAGCTGTAGCAGGAGCTTTAGAGGAGAGCCAGATCAGCAATTGGAACTCTGCATCTCCCTCCCCTACCAGAGCAGGAAAAGTAGTCCTGCACAAGGAGAGACCTAGATGCTTGAAGTCACTGAGAGGAATAAAGATGCAGTGGGAAATGCATTATGCTAAGTGAAATAAGCCAGGCAGTGAAAGACAAATACCATATAACCTCACCTATAAGTGGAACCTAATCAACAAAACAAACAAGCAAGCAAAATATAACCAGAGACATGGAAATAAAGACCCGAAAGTTATCAGAGAGGATGGGGGGAGAGAGGTAATGAGGGAATGGCCATCAAGGAACATATGTAAGGGACACATGGACAAAGCCAAAGGGGGTAATTTCAAGGATGGGAGGCAGGGATGGCTGGGGTGTTGGGGTGTGGTGTGATAAAAATGGAGACAACTGTACTTGAAAAACAATAAAAGAATTTAAATAAAATAACTAATGTTAGATATTTAGCACTGTATC